AGTGTAATCAGCGACGAAGCGCCAACTACCATCAGGCTTTTTGACAGGAAAGAATGGTGAGGCATACTCTGAAGAGGATCTCACCATGCGGCCAAGACGAATCTCGTTGGCAATCTCTTCCATAGCTACTTGCGCTTTGTCAGGACTGAGACGGTAGGCTCATGCAGGCTTTGGAACACCCGTAGTTTTGATGCTGAAACTGATGGTGTTGGACGAGGCACGGTAACATCAAACACCACTGAGTTTTTGGCCAGCACACTGGAGATCAAATCGTCAGGTGCTTTGATTGCGTGGATATGTTGCACGACATTTTTACTGGAGTTGGAGCGTGAGCACTGGCGACCGTGGTATGTGTTATTGTTGTCAAGAAGTTTCTCCATCATTGACTCAAGCCATGACATGCGAGCCTCGAAATTCGTTGACGAAGACGATGAACTTCCGCCCTCGTTAATGCGGTTGATGGATGAAGACGTAGGCAGATGCTCGTAAACTCGATCAGCCAGGTCTGCCAGCTCGCTGGGTTGCATTTTGTCACTGTTGGCAGCGACGATAGATCGAACTGTGACCGGCAGCTTCTGAAGAAATACCTGCATTAGAAGTTGCTCGTTGGCTTGCATTCCATCGAGCTGCTGTTCAAGTGCACGCAGTATTTGGGACGGCTTTGCATCACCTACTTCGGTAGCGTCAAGAGCTTTCTTGATGCGCTGTGCTGCTGATTCTGACGTGCGCGCAATCAGCGTTTCTTTCAACTTGGTGTAGGGATTTGCCTGTGGCTTCAAAATCAAATCGCGGACCTCAGATGCAGCTTCTGGAGACAGGCTCGAGATCACGTAGTGGTACTTGGTTTGCTCCGTCTTGATGTTAGCGATGGCGAATTGAGCTTCGACTTGTGCGAACCACAGAGTAGGATCCTTTGGCCAGTATGGTGGCAACTTGACTGTTGCGCGCTTGACAGGTGCTGGTTTTTGTTCTTCATCATCAGACGAAGTTCCACCACGGAGGCGCAAAACCAAGTGGAGAGTGGACTCTTTCTGAATGCCATAGTTCGCCAGCAGCACGTTGTCCTGAAGTTGTCTGCCGTTGAAGAGCAGGCGTTGATGCATAAGTTCACAGGACAGTCCCACATCATTGCAGACCACCTCCGATGACATCCCAGGCTGGTTGCACGTTGCACGACAGAGAGCATTGGTTTGCGGTGGAAGCATCGTTGCAGACCAATGATCATCAGCGAGACCGCGGTTGGATCCGTCTTCTAGGGTTTGTGCAAGGCAAAATGCAAAAATACCAAGCACCGGGGTCCACGTTTGAGCGGGCTTATAACTCAGGGTAAATGCATGAAACCCCTGAGTAGCTGCTGTCGTCTTCTTGGCTTTGGCAGGGGTCCAGGGCCTGTGACGGGGGGGCCACTGTGACGATTTGAAGAGTGTAGGGTGTATGCTTGATGATGACGCTGAAGAGCCGATGATCAGATGCAGTTTTAACAGGGGAGGAACCGTATCCCCGAGCACCAGGTTGTAATACGGTGAGTACTCCTCGAACCGCTTGGAGAGTGATGGAAGCCGTAGCTGCGGGCTTACTTTCCCTCGACAAGGGCGATGGCGGATGAAGAGGGGGTCATCTGGCCTTCGGGCGCTGGTCTCTAGCATTGATGCGCGGTGAACAAATCGGAGCATTGGTATCCCACTTCTGACACCATTGTCTTCCTCTTTCCTCAGCAAGGAAAAACCAGTGAAATACACACACCAGATGTATTTGAGATTTTACACCATTGCAACAGATCCATGTGAAAAACAGAGGCAGGGAGCTTGCAGCGGGCACTGACAGCGAGTGAGAGAGAGAGGCTTCTAGGTGAAGGACAAAAAAAAAGGGGTGGAGGCAGCGCTGTTGCTTGTCTTTTACATCCATGCAGACCGGCGCATGCAAGGCCGGCGGCAGCGAAGTGGCGGTGCCGCACACTCATGCTGTGGCATATTTTACAGGGAGGGGGCAGGGGGTGTGGCTGGCCCCTGCATCCCTGGGACAGGGCTTGGCACCCCCAATCTGCCCTGTGCCCCTTGACTCTTCAGCCAAAATACACCACTGACCTCATGCTATGTTTTACTTGCAACTATAAGACTTGTCTTTGTATATTCACCACATAACAGACATGATGCCATTTGCCCATCACACTTAATATTGCAATGCACATAAAACATATCATACACCATACAATTGTAAATGTATGAATACATGTATGGTGGTGTATGGCAAATATATGATCATACATGACCATATACTATAGAATCATACACCCTGTCATATGTGGAATTTTCACGTCGGTAGATCTGCTTTCTTTCAGTGTCTTCACAAGGCTAAGAAGGAGCATAAACTTTTTTTTAGTAAGAGCAAAAGAAAATAATCTATATACTGTATATGAAATTGCACCTAGTAGTAAATTGAAAAATGGAAAATTTAAACTCAATGACCTATTTTGATCTCTCTGGTGCCATCTCACATCCCCTCAGCTGAAGAATTGCTGCCCTAGTGCAAAGAGACTGGGATATTCCATTATTAACTAGTAGACTGACATTAGTTGCCACCTATATACATTCATGACCACATTATCCTTCTCCCCTGTAGAATACAGACTGTCTGTGCATGCCCTACACATTGCAGTTTGTTCTCTTCATCGCACTTTGGAGTCACTCTTCACTTAAAGCACACAGGGGTCCTGCTACCTCTGTCTGGTTGCAGCAGATTCCCTGGGGCAGGAGTAGCAGGATCAGAACTTCATTCCTGAATAGATGAATAGCACATAACAATGGATACCTTAAGACACCCTCTGTCACATAGCAGTCATCCTACTTTGTTATAAGTTTTGACTTGTGGGTTGTTGGTTAAAATGAGTAGTCATGAATATGCTATTTGGTATTCCTAAAAAATGGCTAAATGCATGTGACAGTACCCTATGGATGGAAGGAAAACTAGAAAATTCTGATGCATGCAGCTGCCTCTTCAAAATGCTTTTACTACCATTATCATAATCCAATTTAGTCCAGACCCATTCAGTTTGAGCAAGAATGTCTAGATAAGTGGATCAAAAGCAGATTTTCAGGTACATAAGTGACTGCAGTGCAACTCTATACTGGCTGATATTTCAATCAATTTTAAGGTATAAGTAAACATTGAGAAATGGGAAGCATTAACTCCTTGTGTTGGAATAACAAGTCAGACTCAAGGTCAGTGCCAGCATCCATTCTGGGCCACCATGAGGTAGACTCATTGGCCGTACACTTCAGGACTACTAAAAGGTAAGACTGCAGTGTACGTGACAAAATGATCAAATTTAGAATCACAATGTGGAGAAATTTACATTTAAAGCAATTATTTCTACTGCAGTGTGAGCAATGCAGATTTATATTACCACTCTAGGCCAAGTAGGAGGCCATTTAAATGACAACACAAGGGGTTAATAAGGTAATCCAGGTTGTTCTGTACTAGATCAGAATGGGCAAGTCCAGGTGAGCATATTAAAGGCACTCAGAACATTTCTGGTTGTGACTTCGTGGTCACACATATAAGCTTTTTTACACCTTCAATTCTGTATGATATGAAACTGTGAACATTTAAAAAAAGATACTGTACTTCTTCAGGTATTCAATTTATGGCATGTCATACCCTGCATGCCTGCAAGTATTTTTTCTGGCCTCAGTCACAACTGTTAGGTGTGAGGTTCATCTGTCATTGCTCACCATATCACACACAATCATGCATAATTCATAGCATGAATGAAGAGTAGGCTTACTGGGTGTGTTTGGATACTTTTAAGAGAGTATTTTGCTTAATTTTTATTGAATAAGTTTTTTCCAGATTTCCTTTAACTTTAGCTCTGAAATTGTTGCATAATTGTTCCCAGGTACTCAGAATTGCCAAGGAGTCGTAATACCTTGCGAAGCATACAAGCTGCAGGTGACGTGTGTCGTGGAGGGACCATCAGCCAGTATTTTGCTTCTGTGCTGTGCCCATCATGTGAAACTCGCATCACAACTCCAGGGATGTTATGTATGAATTGCCGAGCCCAACCAGATACCGCTGCCTTAAGCATAACATTCAAGATCTCTAACTCGGAGGACAAGTATCAGGCCATCATGGAGGTAAGAGGCTAGTCATTTATCTTCATTGAAAGTCAGAACAAGTCCTGAGGTATTGAAGAGTCAGTGGAAATGTAAATATGAGGGGGACTAATGTTATCACTGCATTTTAATATGCAGGGTCACCTTGAATAATAGGGTGAGCATATGCATTTATACCAATGGGCTACTGAAACCGGAAAATTAGCTCAGTCTTAATTGAATTACTGAACTTATTTGTGTAAGAACTGAAATTTTAAACATTATTTTCTTGCTAGTCAATGTGTGAAGTAACACATTGGCTAGCAAGAAAATAATGTCAGGTCAAATACCTCATGGTCAGGACTTGTCTGTAGAGAGCTATGTACAAGGATCTGCATGACTAATGTAAGAGGATTTCCATTTTCCTTGATTTTGAGTTTCCAAAGTGAGGGCATGACTTATGCAAAAGTGCATTATGTATGATTAAAATTGCATTATCAGTAGACAATAATTACCCTTTCTTCATCTCATTTTCCCTGTGTACTGAGTAATTGCCAAAAAAAATCAAATGATTGAGTCTCTAGAGCAGTGTTTCCCAAACGGTGTGCCATGGCACACTGGTGTGCCACTAGTAATGCTTAGATGTGCTGTGAGATGTGAGAGTTGATGAAAAGAACTAAAATCCTAAAGCTAAAAAAACTTAAAAACAAGAGGGAACGCCATCTCTCAGTGGAAAACGAGCTTAGAGATGCACTATCACGCCTCGTATCAAGCTGCTGTGTTCAGTGAAGCAAGCACAAGTTTCCCATTGAAAGTAAGTAAATGGCTGGGTGTGCCATGGAAAGTTCAAGTGTCCTTATGTGTGCCACAAATAAAAAAAGATTGGGAACCTCTGCTCTAGAGACATCTTGGTATGATCTTGACAAAGTCACACTTAATGCTGATGCAACACCTGTGACCTTGGATTTGTATAGATATGTCGAAGCTGCTGTTCATCAAGGACTGATGATGTTCCAAGGCAGTGCATTTCCCTTGATTGCCCTCTGATGTATCGACAGGAAGCTGCACATCGTGACCTCCTGCAAATCCCCATACTCAACAAGCTCATCAAGGATCTCTCCTTCTAGGATCTTCTATTCTCAATATTGTAGCTCTTTCCACAGACATCTTTTGATTGTCACATGCAAGTGGGCATATTTTGCTTTTAAATACTGAAGGTCATCTTGCAACCTGAGATAATATTTGACTTGGGTGATAATTTGGGCATTAAAAGTGCCTAGTGATTTTCCTTAGGCAGATGCTGATCTCTGCACTGATCAGACATCTTGAAATTGGTATTCTTCTGGATTAATCAGAATATAAGAAATTTTATTGCAGTTTTTAATGCTATTATTTAGCTTTAATTCTTTAATTCTTTTCAGCTCATTGTCTCAAATATATGCATCAGTTGATTCAGTTTTTAAAGTGAATGTTTGAATGGAGCAGACATAAGTCATCAGCCAAGAGCCACTTGTAGATTGGTGCAATTTTTCAAAAACACAAATGTCCCTTTTTGGAATCTTGTTATGTGATACAATCATCACGTGACATGTGGTGCATTTAGCTCTTTTTCTTATAAAGCTCAATAACTTGTGTCTGAATGATTGAAGAAGACAGTGAATAATTGTCAGATACATTCTCTTACTTCCGTGGGAAATGTTGTGTTTATAGCCATTTTTGGTTTTCATGTCACTAGTCCTGATGTTTTGGAAGTTCATTTTCTTCTTTCATTTGGAAGAAATTAAAATCTTTAAAGCAGTTCAATTATGGATTATTCACTTAGCATGTAACTTTGTTTCTGAAAGGGGTGCTGGTGTTGACTCACACCAGTCAAGATTCATGATCTGGAAACCCTGTACAATGAAAGCAGTACAAAGAAGAATAAAGATACAACAAATGAAAGAACATTAACACGTTGACGACCAGCCTATTTTTGCTTGTCTGCCACGTGGGACCACGCGCATTTTTTTTGTCAAAAAATGCGTCCTGCCATCAGGATGCATGGTCCCAGAAAACTTTTTTTTTTGCCGAGTTTTTTTAAAATGTTGAATTTTTTGGAATTTTTATCAGTAATTACGAAATCATAATCTTCTGGAACATTCTCAACAGTTCCAGAGGGTATTCATTGAAAAAAAATCTGCATCCTGGCATCAGGATGCATTGTCACCAACATGTTAATAGTAAATGGAGAAGGGGAGAGTGAGTAAATGATGGATCTTCACAATGTTGAGATAATTCACTTAACAAAGGTTGCTAGTGACAGTTGCTGGTATTTTCATGGAAATGTAATATGGACACCCAAGTGCTTATAAAGAACCTAAAACTTCTTTACCAGGTAAGGAAAATAAAAATGTTTCTTGTCATCTAAAACCCAGTTGCAGATGTTTAAGAATATATAGTAATGAAAAAGCAAATGGAAAAGTAAGCCACATGTGAGCAACTTTTGCGATTTGGTCTTCCACTCCTACCATTGATAAATGTTTCACCATCATTTCCCTTCTTTGGAGATTCTGATGAAATGAGGAACCTTTGCAATTTTTTTTTTAAAACCACTTTTCCTTCCATATTCCCTAATCAAATCACTGCCCCCTCACTGTCAGCTTCTGTGGCATTAACTGTACTGCTGCTAAGAGTTTTGCTAACAGGGCTCTTCAAAAAAAGTTCAACATGTTAATTGCCAAAAACTATTTTGCCTTTCTTTCCCATGAGGCCAGGGTTATTTATTCTTTAGTTACTGGCATAAATTGATGTTTTAGTTATACAGTATGTTATATATACCACCCACTTCCAAAATGGTCAGGCATGCTGGTTTTCTTGACCTCAGGAAGTGATGTCATTTAATGATGAATGACTTCATAACTTTTCTATATTCTGTTTCTCTGATATATGAAAAAGCTGAACACTACCACTCTGAAATCAACTACATAATACAGTCAACTCCACTTAGTAGAATACTGCTTCATGGAATACCATTGCATGGTCCAAATTTTCTAGCTATATTTTCCCTTTTGAAAAGCATTGCATGAAGGAAATATTACTAGAGTAACCCCCTTAAAAGAATAACATTTTTGGAAAGATGAAATAAGTACCTTGTACTTTTTCATTGCCGAAAAACAAAATGTTATTCTTTTTCTGGGTTCTCACCAGCCCATCATTCTAATCCCATCCTTGTTCCATAGAACCAAGGTCACAAGTAGCTGCCACTTGAATTTTTTAAAGTGCTACATGGCAGCCAACTAAGAAAATAATAAAAAGGCATTAAAAAATAAATAAAAATTATGAACAGTGCACAATTAAACAGTGGATGTAAATAGGAATACTCCAGATTATAGACTGAAATTCACTGTTCCTGGAGTTTTTCGTTTTAGTATATGGAGTTGACTGAACTTGAAACTTATTATGAAATTCCCAGCTCTACTGACATCCAGATGCTCCTGTAGAAGACCTTTTATCTTCATTTCTTTGGATATTGCTAACTAAATCTGTTGGAGAGTATCCCTTGATTTGTGTTATCCATGACCTCTTAAAAAAAAAAATTCCCATGATTGGGGAAATTACAATGTTAATCATACCTCTTTGGTAGCATGAAAGTTTTTTCTTGGCTACTCTAGAATGATGAGTAAAACTGGACAAAACCCTAACCTTTTTTTTTTAATTCCTAACTGTTGCATTTGGGAAAGAGATTTCTCATCTCTCTTGCAAGAAGTATTATTGAAAAGTCTACAATTATACTAAGTTTCTCTCTTATGGTATATTGGCATGAAAGTGGCATAGAATTTCTGAGGAGAAAGAGTAATTTTATGCTGATGGTATAGCCATGGGTGAGGTTTGGCTATTCACTGTGAAGTCCATTTTTTTCACAGTGCTGGCATGTTTGCTCTAAATTCAGTTGTTGCAGGTTAAATTTCAAGCTACTAGTTGAAAGTTAACCTAAGCACAATATCTTAATTTACTCAATTGCATTTGAGTTCATGCTGATTGTGCCTATTGTATCATCCCAACAATACACTCCTCCATGTAACTGTCCTGCTGCTTTCTAGGGTTTTCTGAGGCTATGGTCTGGCTTTGTAGTGGGCATTTGGAACTCCATTATTTCATGGTCTGATCATGGTCTGAGAAAAGAGCCTAAAACATAGTGAGCAGAGAGGCTTTTGCACAAAGGTGTATTCTATCCTTCACTTATGCAAGGAATAGTTCATTGTCATCAAAAGCTGAATCTGGACAGTGGAGGAAAATAGCATTAAACAAACAACAATGGAACTAATGGGCAAAGAGAAAATAGAAACTCTAATTACCAGTTCCTTGGCATAAAATATAACTCATCATTCAGGTTCCATGAAGTATAAATAATTACAGGAATTCATTACATTACCAAGTGACTCCCTAGTGCTAGCTGTCTGACTGCTTTATGATGTCCTATTTCTTCATTAGCCCTTTCAGACCTGGCATCCATTCCAATGGACATTGCATTTACATTGTGTCTATGGCAATTTATTAGGATTCTCGTGACTTTGTGCTCCATATTATGATGCAACTGAGCCATGCAATCATGCATGGCTCAGTTCCATCAGAGGCCTTCTTTCATCTATTAGTTTTATAATCTTCAGTTATTTTATTAAATGTATAATATATAATATATGGTATGAAATGGTAAATTTATACAAATTATGAAGACTACATATAAAGCATGAAAATTTCAATTAAAATCACGAAAGAGCTCAAAAATGCAAAAAAGGATATTATTCTGATGGCAGCCTTAATTCAGGTCTGAAAGGGTTAGATATTGGAGCTTGCTAATGCATGTTAATGCTTAGATGCATTAATGCATCTAAGGAGAAGTAATATGAATATGCAATTCAAGCAGATGCAAACATAGTCTTAATTGTCCAAAACAATGGAGCATCTGTTCGAAGAAGAGGAGGAAACTGATGAGGAGGAAGACAAAATGGACATGGCAGAGTTGGATGAGGACTCCCAAGTGAATGATGATGATGGTGATGATGCTAAGCATGTCCAGCTCCTCAAGGCCATTACCAAAATGGACAATTTCAAGTATGTTCCAATTGCAACTAGTCAGGTATTAGGTTGTATTATTGGGACAAATGAGGAGAAGTTAACCTTTTCTCTGGCATTGGTGTCTCCAGATGTCCAGGAGATGCCAATGTCTCCTCCAATGACACCTGCAGGAAGGGGTTGGAGATTAAGATTTCTATCTCCCAGTGAAAGGGTTAATAAAGCTAAAGAATGAATATAAAAGTGATGGATTATTTACTTTTTCTGCAGAGGAACAGTGTGTACCCCCTTGGAGCCCATGCGTCGAGAGCCCAGCACCCAAGTGTCGGAATATGAACTGTCCAAGTCCAATGCCAGTGAGGTCAAAGTGGAGGATCTCTTGGCCCCTTTGAAGGGAAAGACCCGATTGCAGAAACTCTTAGGTTCTGTGCAGAAGACAGAGATACGGTGCCAAAAGGCCACTCTGGATGTGCCCTTGCCAAAACCTCAGGCTCTTAGAGTGAGCAGATGTCCTATTAGTCCATGTGATCATAAGAAAGGAAATAACTCAAAGTATTTATTTGATGGAATAGGTAGAGAGAGAAGTGGGCTACCAGAAAACTTCAGAAGAAGTGGGGAAGTGGGATGATGTTGTACGCCGTAATCGCCTTTCCCGACAGATCTCTTTCCCCTTGAATGACACCCAACTCCAACTCCTCACCTCTGAGGAATACATCTCCAAATTCAAGGTCAGTCAAAGAAAACACAGTCCTGAATTTCATATCTGGTTAAATTTTCTTATGATTGTAGTTCACACCGAGTGAGATTTTATTAAACATATTTTATTCTATGAAAAGTATTTTTAAAAATGCATTTGCCTGTCTGTCATTAAGCTCATGAGATTCATTGACAGTGTTTGAGAGAAGTTGATTCAAAATAAAAATTATTTTCAAGTTTGTTAAGGATTTGAAACTTGGTACTCTCTCAGGCCTCTGCTGCCATTGAGATAAGAATGGTTGTTGCTCCCATGCACATTCCTGTCCTTAAGGACTGATGAACAAGTCCACAATGAACTTGGGAAAATCAAGAGAACTCATTCAATTTTTTTATCAATAGAGATCCATAATCATCTATGCTCTTCCCTATACTGATTCCATTTTCAGCCATCCCAAAGAAAAGTAGGATGGGCTTTAGCATTCATTACAGGATCATTCTTATTCTACAGGACAACCTCAGTTTCTGTTTAAAAAATGAATGGTGATATTAAGGGGCTTATGAACTCATTGAGAGATTACCCACAATATACAAAAGGAGCAATCCAGATGTTTGTGGATTGAGTGTCACATGGCTTAACTGTAAATGTTGTTATTTGAGTGCAATTTGGTGTATTTAGTCAGTAGCCTATCCCAGCTTCATGTAGCAAATTTGTACATCATACATTTTGGCTATATGTAGAACTTTACCATCAAGAGACAAACATTTTAATGTCATTGGAAATGAATGTCATTTGAAGTGCATGAACATTGTATGATCAAATTTTGTATTTGTCTTGTGAAAAGCACCTTGGAAATGTGAGAGATGATGAAGGAAGGTTTAGGGAACCAAGGAGGTTGGTGTCTGAAAAGGTCTAAACTCAAGTGACAAAAGCACTTTTCTGAAGGAAGGGGAGAAGTTGGTGGCAATCTATGTTCTTGGAGGCCATCATTGTCAGCAACAGATGAAATCAATGTGATAGCTTGTGCACTACCAAATGAAGGTTGACTGACAATCAAGTAGCTGAAGTCTTGTAGGTATCATATGGATGTGCACAATTAGCCTTCTACTGCTGCCTGATTTACTGGAACAAAAAAGTTAGTGGGAAATGTCTCCCCAAGAAAGTATGCCCCATGGGAATGTGTACTAAAAGTATGAGTTTTCTGAAATTAGCTTCACAACAGGTACATTCATACCAAGTTTCAGTTATCTATGCTTCTATTTTCTTGAAGTGCAAAAATTTCTTTGAAAATGTCCCTAAAAAAAATGTACCCATAGGGGTTGTATGTTCAAAGTCAGATATTTTCTGGTCAGCACTCTAACAGCTATTTGTATACCAAGTTGTATGTTTCCTCTATCTATCATATACAGAACTTGGTTAGAATTAGCATCTATCAGTCAGTCTTTCACTTACAATCATCTATATGTATATATTAGATAAAAACCTATCAGCTTTTCTGTATGATGATATCAGAGGAACTGAAATAAAGAAGGAAACCTTAATAAAATTTAGGAAACATCCTAAACAGGTCTTCAAGTTCAAGTTCAGTGGTCTTAATAAAATTAAAACAATTAACATTTTTGTGAGTTCACTTATCAGCCAGGTTCATGATGGCTCTTTTGAAAGAAATTGATGCATTAATCTAAACAATTTTATTGCATTAATGCATCATGAGAAAATTTCCCCCTGAATCCCATGGAGGAAGGGAGGGAGGTTACTGATCAAGAGGGAGAGCTTTCTTGATGGCTGATGAAATTGTCACTGCTTCCAACTAATGATAGTGACATTGATGCATCATGGTGCATCATATCAGCCCTACTCATCACCTACACTACTGGTGCATTAGATTGGATTCTGAAGGAAGTCACACTGAGACAGCCTTGGACATAGTCAATGCCTGTCCAACCTTACCTAGAATGACCTGACCAGGCAAATTTAATAAATTAGCTTCTGCCCTCCACTGGGATCTTTGTGGACAAGCACCCCAACCCAGACCAGACCCCCTGTAAGAATACTAGCCAGACTTGTTAATGGAATATTAGGACTATCAACCAGTCTGCAACTTCAATGTCTGTGTGGATAGGTGCATTGAAGATCCTCATTAGAAAGTGGAATGGGATCGTGGTGATCATCAAGTGTATCCTATCCTGTCAGAAATGTGGATGTAAGGGAGATGGATAAGATAGAAAAGTGCCAACCCCTTGCATTTGGTCTCCAATGCATCTGTAAAACAAGAATTGAGGTGGTGTTGGTGGTGGCAGGAGCATAAGGAAAGTTTGCCAGCAACTTGAAGGTCAATTCTTGGCTGTTGAAGATGCCATCAAACCCCAACTGCTGCAAGAAATCAGTGCTCCTGAGTACAGCACAGATGATCTGGTCTGCTCTGAATTAGTAATTCCTGGAAACAGCAGCAAGAGATCAGGGGCTCATGTTTTCATTTCCTTATGCATTAATACTTTATTCCATTCCCTTTACTTTTCTTATCAAGAAGTGAGGGTGCAGCTGATAACAAGATGATTGCTTTAATGAGAAAACTTGTCTGGTCCTTTACCTGCTCATTTTAATGAGATTATAATGAGGATTATATTACTGGATTTATTTGTTACCCTGGCCATGACCCAATTTATGATTGCACAATGCATTCAGTGCTTTGTGTCCTGACACAACTGAATACTCCCACTTTTGAGCGTCAATTGTTATTGGAATTGCAGAAACCATCAACTCGTCTGGAGGAACGCGTGTATACCTTGCTAGAGGGAAGCCCACATGTGATCCATCCCAATGTGGAGCTAACACAGTTTGAGCAGGAATGCCTGGAGAGCTTGCTTCTTGATGAGGCCCTTGAACGCCGTAATGACCTTGCTAAGATCCGTGCTCTCCAGTCTTATCAGGCAGCCAAACAGAGGCGACAAAACAGGATTCGTAGCAAGAAGTGAGTCCATTTGCCTTGCTTTCTGAAATAGTTGATACTCTGGCTATACAACTGGTTCATTTCCAAAATTATTTTTTATTGCTTGCTTGTTGTGTCAGAGTTATGGCAAATGGCTCCAGATCTCTGATGCATTGATGTATATGGTACTCAGATGAATTTTTTTAATTTGGATCTTCCAGTTAATGCCATCAATCAATGTTTTTTTTTATTCTAAGAACCAACCATCTATTGTAGATGGTGAAATATCACTGAGTCTTAACACATGCTTGCTAGATATTGTCTTCGTTCTGATGAATCTTCTTTCAGTTCTTTCATTGTAATGAGTTCTGCCTTCAATTTCAAGAAATGCCAGGCACTCCTGGAAATGATGAACTCTGTCAATTTCCTGCAAATTTATGTTTTGCATGGACAGGTATCATCGGATCTTGAAGCGAGAGAGGCTGCGCACTCAACTGAAGCAGTTTGAAGAACTGAAGAGGAAGGATCCAGGAGCAGCCTTAGAGCAGTTGCGAGAGCTGGAACAACAGCGTGCCCTGGAACGTGTGACACTCCGCCATCGTGTCACCTCTAGAAGGTCCAAATTCCAGGCAATTCGTGCCAAGTATGACCCTGAGGTGTGTCCAAGACTCCACTCATTCATCATGTAAACCTCTGCTGAGGTTGAGCTGTGATACTTGGTTCTTGCACTGAAGTTATGCCTAGTGGCCATAGTGGAGAATGTAGGGAAGTCAAATGGGATTGGACTTTTTTTTATAACATTCAATATCTGCAATGTAGGCTGTTGTTACATGGTATTCTTTTGATATTGTTTTTCTGGAACAGAGTGACACAGGCATTAGAAACAAGACAAAATGAACATCAGAGAATGGCCTGGAAGGGAACCCTGTCTCTTCATTACGTGTCAGGTGTGCTGGCCACACTCAAAACATTATCCATTCCCTCCCATACTAGTTTGACTTGCTTCCACTAAGACCCTCACAAGCAAGTGGATGCATGCTCCAACTAGTGTTATCAGCCTTGTGTAAGTAAGATGTCAGCTAGCATTTCATGAGTGCTGTTGTCAACAGTCCCATGTGTGGCACATTATACAGAACTGCTGCTCCTGTATTCCTTTATTTCATATCCCCTGGTTCAATCTGCTTGTCATACTGGTAACTTAAATGGGATATCTCAGTTGGCCAATTAAGACCTATGTTTCTTGATGAAGTTTGAAGGGAGTGGCATTACCCAACGATGCTTCTGTAGCTTGGAAATCAGCATGCCTAGAAGCATGGAACCTGCTTTGCACTCTTTTGAGAAACTTATAAAATTGGTCTCCTAATTTATAGTTTTGTTGGCATGCTCTATCATGCCATCTCACTTCCTGTCGAATTTCTAGTAATTTGGACATGGCTGAGAATGCCTCATGGTTGAATAAATAAGGAATGTGCCCCCAAAGACTGCCTAGGTAATTGTATTGGATGTCATCAAAGTCCAGGGCTGAACTTTATTTCAGATAGAATTTACTCTGAATTTTCCTGTAAATAGGCATCAGGGTCCAGGTGTTAAAAAAACAATGTTCAAGTACTCCTGCAGTTGTGCTTGCTAATGGTGCCTAGAGGAAAAAATGTTAAAAAACTGCTAAATACCCAGTTTGTAGGGGAAAAATGCTTGATTGACAAACTATTTCAGTGTCATACCAGTCCAAGTGCCTTCAGAGGTAGTCATCAGTGATCTCTTGCTCCAGAAACACTACTAAATTGGAATAGTCTAATGACTGGGAAGGTGTTTTCTGTACCCCTCTTACAAAAAGTCTCCGACTTAAAACAGGCTTGTTTTCTGTTTTTTTGCTTTAGGTGAAATACAAGTACTTTGAAACATTCCAAATCTCAGCCACTGAAACAGGCAGGTTTTCTAACACTTATTCCTTGAACAAAGATCGGAGCAAAGCATAGATTCATTATACAGGCATGGTTTCCATTCAATCCTGAAACCATTGCATGAATGAGTCCATAATTCTCTTTTGATAAAGTTATGGGCTCTCTGCAGAGTCCTTGCAATGAAATTAGAACGAAATGGAATTTTTTCCAGTTCCCCCACCACATGATATCTTCTGATTTTATGCATTTTCAGGCTCGCAAAGTACTGGCTGAGCAACTCCTGTTAAGTAAGGAACTGAGGAAGAAAGTGCATGGAGATAGTGAGAGTGAGGAAGAGGGAGAAGTTGAAGGGACAAAGAAAGCCCCTCTCAACTTGGACTTGGACCCTAATAATCCCTGGATGGCTACCAATAGCAAGGGTAAGGATCCTCCAGGAGAGGCCCACCAGGAGGATGGTGGGTACCGCAAGTTCTGGCTTACTATTGAAGACCTCAAGTACAAGCGGGCCAACCCGATCACTAATTTGGAGAAGGAGCAGGCAGAGAAGGAATCTATAGTTGAGGTGGTGGAGTCATCCACTCCCAAGGAGGTGGAAAAGACAGGGGAAAGGGGGAGGTTTGATTTTACCTCAGACAGAGAGAGTGCAGCTGGTGTTGAAAAGGACTCAGAGTTGGGTGAGTACTGGCTCCATTATTTCACAGATGAAGAATCATGATGCTAGCTTTCTTGCATGACTAATGTAAGTAACAGCTTTTTTTTTTGCTCAAGTTAAGATGTTGGAGAAATCATCAAAATCAATTCCTTTTATTCTCTCAAAGAAATTAGTTCTTATTAGTTCAAGTTTCTTCAGATTACCATATTCTTTTCTCACTATGTGTGATATTTTCCAGTACCATATATCTACCTTCACAGGTGTTCAAGTAAGCAAGGTTTGTGCTCAAGAAGACACTGTTGAGCAACATCAACCCTCGCCCAAGAAGAAAGAGCACAAAATGGAAAACCAGAGGACCAAGAGACAAACACAAGGAAACGTGAATAAGGAGCGAGATGTGGATGACATGTTTGATGCTGTGGAAGAGGAACTTGAAAAGAGGGCGCAGAAGAAGCTGTGTCAGCTGCGTAAGGCAACAGGATTCCTTCCTGAGGCCCTGAGAAGACAGAAGAAGAGGGTCAAGTGCAAAGGCAAAACTAAAAGCAGTCAGGATTGGTTGGTGGAAGAGGTGCACAGAAGAAGCTGCGTCAGCTGCGTAAGGCAACAGGATTCCTTCCTGAGGCCCTGAGAAGACAGAAGAAGAGGGTCAAGTGCAAAGGCAAAACTAAAAGCAGTCAGGATTGGTTGGTGGAAGAGGTGAATCCACGAAAGGAGGATCTAGGTCTCAATGAGGGTACTACCCGTTCTTGCACATTGGAGCAGCTTGATCATGTTGCCATGCAAGGTGAAACCTGATGTACTTCTCCCTCATGTACTTATCTTCCCATAGCATCTTCACCCTTGAGATTGTCTCACATTTCTACCCTGAATGTGTTTATCTTCAAGATGGATGAGTAGGCAAAGTGCTATTACATGGTGCATGTGACTTATTGTATTAATAATATCTATTATTTTGGCCACCAGTGCATCTCTTAGCATATTAAAGCTGAGAAACTAATCATTTATCCTATGAAAAGCAATTTGGAAAGTCTTGGCAGTGTGAAGGGGCTCTTGTTTTGGGAAATTTTCATGTTGACCAAAGTGTATAAAATTAAAAGGCTTTAAACTTCAGCTATTGCAAAGCCTAAATATTTGTGGAAACACTCCCCATGCATCTTGAAAAAAATTATTTTAAGTGCTAAGAATATGTTATGCTGCACAACTACTCAACTTGGTCATTTTATGATCTTCCTTATTTTCTTATTCTTTGAGGCCACAAGCTTTAATTTGCCTGAAGCCCAGATCCAGAGGTACTTCAGATACACTTTTACATCTTGATATCAGCTTTTCCCTAGAATGATGGTGAATTGGGATTCTCTTCTCCTTACAGTAAGAGCCCTTCTCACTGGGTTCAGTGGCTGAGTGATTCAAGCTTCTTAGTTATGCCCAGAAGGCTGAGGATTGAGTCTGAGTGGTGGTGAGCTCTTCTCCACCAACAGGCAACCCACCTTCTTTCTGGGGAGTGTCTGCCTAGCATTGTGATAATACACACCATGGTGTGTGCCATATCTAAGAGATACAGATATTGTAATCCCCAAAAATTATAGGTGTAGACAACCCATGAGCTGCTCTTAATGACTCCTGCTGGACTGTGGAACAGCATACCCACCTGAGGAGCTGTGATTGGATCTGGGATCTGGTCCCAGTACATGCAGGCACCCCCTTCCTTTACATGTATTATAATGCACCTGTTGTGGTGTCCACTGTATTCCCCTAATAAAGTTGAAAAAAAGTACCTTCTCACTTTAGAATTCTTTGAAAAGTCTTTTCTGAATTCTAATGACCCCATGCATTCTGCTATCACCATTACTAGAACATATTGTATTGTATTTCCAACTTTTGTCATTAAACTTGACATGTTTTGCTGCCTTTCAAGAAAGCCAAACCCCCTCATTGAATGCAAGATGACTTGAGGGATAGAGAATGATAAACTTGCCTTACCTGCTCTGTTTTGAATTTACATCATTATTGGGTGAGAATTGAATTAAATGATTTTAAATCAATCTTTTATTCAAAAAAGATTGAAGGAAAAAAATGTAAGCAAATTTTAAACACATTTCCTACTTTGCCTGTTTTTTTTGTTCCCCTTTTCCCCCCTGGTTTTTTGGTTTTTACCAGTAAAATGGAAAAATGAATTTTTGCCTGTCAAATTCAAAACCCTGCATGGGTTAGATTGGTGAATGGAAAAACTTGAATATGAAAATGAGGACTGAAAAAGTTATTAACCTCTTCAGACCCTGCAGCATGTACACATGCCAAATATCAAAATGTTGAAACCCCTGACCAAATTTCTTCTACGTCATGAATCATGTTGTAAGCCATAGCAGGGTAAGTCATAGCAAGAGAGCTCCAGAAAAAAAAAAATGGGCCTCATTGAACTCAGTCTGCATTGCACCAGGGGCTTGTGAACATGGTACTTCTGTGAATATGGTCACTCGCATCATCTCTGATTTTATGAAAGCTCTTTTTGATTGCTCATTATTGACCTCATAATTAGAATGCATGTTGAGCTGCATTGTCAAGCAATGTGGGAAACTATTTAGAAATAAAGGTATATCTGACTTATTATAGAGCTCTAATGGGATGAGTCAAAATATAGATGGCATGTACAGATGCTACGAGGCATTGTGTCAGTAAATTTGATGTATCCTTTTCATGGAGAATGCATGGGTTTTGTGCCCTTATCCTGAAACATAAAAAAATTATTGGCCTCTTTCTTCTTTACAGAAAAGGAGAAGCCAGAGATGAACCAAAGAAGGGAGCCAGGAGGAGAGACTAGTGGGTGTGAGAAAGTTGAAGATGGACAAGACCTTGGTCAACCCAGGGAAGTGAACGTGGATCCAGGGAAGTACATGCAGCTAAGGGCAGTTAAGATCCAAGGTGCCCTCCCAAATGCCCTTGTGCTGGATGAGGACAGGGATGAAAATGCCTTCCCTGAGGATGTTATTGCTGAGGCATTTGAGGAGGATGATGTCATTGAGAAGTTCAGGTCTGTATCAGCAATGGTCAACTGCAAAGCTTTTGAAAAACTTTGGTAGCTGCTACACTCTCTGAGATATTCTTTCTGCAGACAGTTACATTTGAAAGTGGAGCATCTTTGAGTTAAAATGCAATTTTCAAATGAAAAAAAACATTTTTTTTGCTACCTTTGTTATCTTAGTCCCTGTCTTGCTCATGTTTATCTGAAATATAGGGACCTGGGAGAGCAGCATTCTTCTGATGCAATATCTAAAATGTAAAGTGCTTAATTTGACTGTACAACAGACCATGGCTTCTTTGTTTTAGGCACAAGAATAGAAAAGTAAAGCATGCATTGGGAAAAATGCATTTCACTATTTTTGTCAGTCAAAGTTTTTTTATTGTCACGGGATTTGGTGGAAATTTCTCTCAATTAAAATTGATTAAAAATAAGATCACCCATCACATGAAAATATGAAAATAACATTTCTGCTGCATTCAAAACTATAATCATTATTTATTTTGCACCAATGAATTTATAGTTTAACAAATTAATTTAAAAAGAGAATGAAAATCTACAGAGCAATGAAATTGTTATTGATCTGTGATCCTATTGTTATCTTCTCTTGCTTATGCAGGGTGTTACAAAATCTTAGTCTCTTGCAAAACTGCATGATGATGGAACGAAGTGGGTTTTATTTCTGAATTAAGTAATAAATGCTGTACATTTTGGCTAAATCGCAGGATTGTGTGTTACCTCTACTGGCCTCAAAGGTGAGAAGGCCCTTGTCATTTAAAAGCATTACATGGTTAATACAGTGTCTCAGAAGTTGCAAATGAATGTATATTGCATATTCTTTGCACCCATCACATGGATTGAATCACTCTATACAGCATTAAATGCAGAATTTTAAGGAATTTGTTTGATATATTGCTCACTGCACATGCATCAGTTTGGCAGGAGTGGTGATAATTTTTCTGAACACTCATTTTAACATTTCCATTGGTACAGCCTTGTGTTTGTGTGGTCGCATAGGATTTGTGATGCTTTTTGTGCTTTCTAACATGGTTTTTTCACATTGAAAGGACACATTGAAATTTCATATGGGTGATAATTGTTTGTGTTGTCTTGCTCTTGATGTTGTTCTTGATGAACACGATTTGCACCTAAATTTTTTGGGAGAAGAGATGTTCTGAAAACCCTTTCTGATTGATCTTATCCCATCATGTTCATTCATATGTCAAATAAATTCCCCAAAAATTCTGCTTTCAATGCTGTCTATATATTTTTGATCCATGTGATGAGAAATTCCAATTTCAATTCGTCCACAACTTCTAAGACTCCCTGTATATCTGGGGTGTTATTTTGTTTCAATGTACTATCATGTTTCTTCCTGAGAACATCTTAAACATTAACCAAGTGATATATCTTAATCCTTGTGTCTAATCACCTGAACTTGTCTGTAAAAACACAGATTTGATTTTGAAAGATAGAACTGAAGATATGGTGATCTGTGGATCTCTTGGAAGGCAGTTTTCCCTTGGAAAACTGCTTTCTGACACATGTTGTGAGAGTTTTCTGTACTTTCAAGTTTGGTACCAACTTCTACCTAAATTTGCTTCTATCCTACCTATCTTGCCTTCAAGTTGTCATCAGGGCTGGTAGTGAGCTAATGCAATACTGAGGTTTAGCTTGAAAATTTAGAATTCAATACTTAGTTCAGAAGTAAATCCTGTTTTACTTCACCATCACACAGTTCTTCTCCAGAAGGGATGGCTAAGGTATTGTGGCACTCTGTAGAATCTCATTGGAAGAGTATTTTGTTACCTAGCTAGGTAAGACAAATTTTGCAGCCTTGTTGGAAAGGAAGAACTTAATCAAACTATGAAAGAGGAAGAACTTAATCAAACTATGAAAGACTGTTTTCCTTATGTTACTTCCTGAAATTTTGCTTAAGATTGCAATTGATGAGTTGCTCTTTGGCACTTTCTGAATGTCACAGGCAAAAGTTTTAAACCTTCCAGTTTGTATCTAAATGGCTTTTGTTGATCAAAGTGGTTCCTGAAGTCAACCCTTTCATAGTACCCCTTCCATGGTCAGACTCATAAAAGGCCATAATTCCTATCTCAGACTTTCAATATATTGATAATTTCCAATAGCACATCACAGTTGAACACATGTCCTGTTCTTGTTTCTTCTACTTCTAAAGAACTTGAGTGAGAACAGATATCTTTGTCAATCTGGAAACATGGTTGTAGTGGTTATTAACTATCTATCATGTATATTGAATTTCAGTATTTTTTGCAGCATAATTTCTTATATATGATACAGCAGAATTAGTACTTTAGGACATGTATGCAGATGCAAGGTTTCATTCGGAAGAAGAAAGATGTTATAAGACTAAATTTATTTGCTACTATTATCATAACCTAATGTGTTAAATTCTAAGACAGTTATAGAGATGAGAACCAAATCTCATAAGTGCAGACCTTGTGACTAAGCAGTAATTACAGTTATGTTTGTTTCATGAGTCTCTCACTGTAAAAATTGTTTGGACTAATTCTCAGTCTTCTTAATTCCACCTTGTATGGAACAGATTGCATTGCTGACTCCCTTGATGGAAATTGAGGAGAAACAAATAGGACAGGATGAAAATTGGGGAAAAGTAGACCTTTTCCCCGCAATTGGATGCCAACTCGGTTGTGTCATACCAAATTTATCATGAATGAACCAGCTGCATCAAAAGCTGAGCCTGTTAAATTATGTGCTGGTGAGGTAAGCCAACAATTGAGAGACAGTTGAGTTATGAAAAGTTAAAAAATCATTGAGGCCTGATACCAATTGCAAAAGGCTTGTCTTCTTCCAACAATGTACAAGTAGATATTGTCACCTTGTTATCTCCTGTCTCAATGACAACTTCACTGCAAAAAAAAAAACAATTTTTTTATTACTTTGCATCCCCTTCATTAGGTCAGCAAGAGTGATGTTTTGTCGAACAAACAATCTCTGAAGTACTTTGAACTTGAATTGGGAGTCTTTGCTGCTTATTGATATTACTGGAGTGGACATTTAGGAATGAGAAGGAACATTAAAGACAATGGTAACTTGATATAGGACTAGTTTGATCTGTGATTATAATACCCTAGTGCTTGAAAATGGACTTGTTGTTGGTCAGAGTGGAGAAACAGGCAGCAATGGAGTTGGATGAGCTGAAGGACATGGTGCTCACCCTTCCTGGCTGGGGGGAATGGGGTGGCCCAAACCCAGATGACCTTGACTTTCACAAGAGACCTAAGAAGAGGCGTTTCATCAAGGCCCCTGAGCCCCCTCCTCGCAAGGATCGAAATCTTGGGAATGTAATCATTTCTGAGAAGAAGAACCAAATGCTTCGACAGCATCAGGTCTTATGTCCTCTTCTTTTCTTCCTCTTTGGAAGAAATTTCTGGATAGAGGAATGAGATCAGTCTCTTCTCTTCTATGCATAATCTGTATCTGACTTGGCTGGGTACTCCTACAACTTTTCAGATTGATTAAGTCCAGCAGCGTATGTGAATTTGGTGCAGGAACTATTATAAAATATTCTGATGAAATATGGAATGTGCAATTGAATGTATAAACTGCAGTGAAAAAATATACAAGGATAAATTGTCATGACAAAGGTGAAAATGAAAGCCAGAGCATTAGCATTTTCTAAGCAGTGAAGCAATAGAAAAACAATGGAAATTGGCAATGAATGTGCTGCCTATTGCCATGACTCACTTACAGTGGTGGTAATAAAGTCTAATAGGGGAGAGGGAGGATATTCCCAATGAGCTTGGAAGGGATATGTTTCATGTATGACTAATTGATGTGAGTACCACTTTGAGAATATGCTGTTTCAGGTGAGTGAGGTGCCCTTCCCATTCTTGACAGTGCGGGATTTTGAGGCAAGTATTCGCACTCCACTGGGGAAAACATGGGTCCCTGAGACAGCTCATCGCCTCCTGACTGCTCCACCTGTCATGACCCGAATGGGAGCAGTAATTGAACCCATGGACTCTGAAGCCCTCCTCAACCTCAGACAGAGAAGGGAACTCCGGAAGCAAGCAAACCCACAGGTGACATCTCATCTGTCTGGTGATTTCCCTTCAAAGAGGTGACCACCTTTCCATCATCTTCTTTCTGAGAAGAAAAGGTTCCTTGTTTGGAGTGAGCAAGGTGTTGCCCTCTTTGAATGAAAACCTGTTTAAACCCTGCACACCTGTTTTCATCAGTCAACACTACTTCATTGATCAAGGATACCTGAGCACATGGTTCAGAGGGAAAATATGAGCAGTGCAAGAATGCACTTGCACAACTGCATGCATCATGAGCAGGCAGCATGCCCTGGTTTCCATTAGTGTTTTCTATGCACTATCATGTGCATTTTATACAATAACACACTGGTTCAAACATCTTGGAACAAATATCTTGAAACCCCAAAATTTAGCCCATGAGATGCACTTGCTTGAAGGATGCATTTATGCACTGGGTGAAACAATGAGAAGCATCATACACTGGTTGGATTCATTGGGTGCATCAGGTCAAGGGAAGTGGTTTGTCAAAGTCAAACTGTTTGTTTTTTCATTGAAGATTCGAGTTTGAAGAATCCCTATTCAAGAACTGAAATGCACATCATGTATGTTGGTAAAAGTTTCATATTATTGTAATTCACAGAAACACATAGCTGCATAACTCTATAGTCTCCGCTGACAAAAGTCGCACTTTTCTTTATCAAGGACCATGCAAACTGTTGCTTGCGTTATATGATACCCTAATATCAAACTGCAACAAATGCAGTAATCTGACAGATGAAAAGAGACAGCATCCAAAACGAAGTTCCACTTATTGCCATTGTTATGCTCTATCCTGCTATCCCATAGAAAGTCGTACTCATCCAGGGAATGTTGGCTCAAGAAAAGAGACAGGGTAGAAGAAAGAAGGGAACTGGGAAAGATAATACACAGTAGAACTTTAATTACTAAGGGCCTGAGATGAGGCTCTGTAAGAGGAGGAGAAGCAATTGCTGTAGAATTATGGTTAATTAATATGGAGCCTAATCAGCACAAAGGTATTTAAAGTTCCTGCACAGGTGCAGGAACTACATGATGCACCAGGAAAGACTAGAAGCAGTTTGTATGACAAGACAGAAAGCAACCAAGCAAGCATATTGAAAGCATGGGTGAAGACTACAATTATCAAGACCCAGGAAGAAAAGGAAAGAAGCAGAACAAGAGTCATCAACAAACTTCCCCCAGGGAAAGCAGCTCATGGGGCCATTCAGTCCTTAAACACAGAGACACCAAGGTACCTAATTGGATGATCCCTGTTGCCTTATTGCATGAGGAAGCATCTGACCCTATGTTCAAAACTGTGCAAGAACTACATTTTGAAACAAAAGTAATTCTTACATCAGTGCAGTGACCTAACTAAAATGGTCATTGCATTCCTGACTTAAAATGAGGCTAAATCTAATTTTTATTTCCAAATTTTGGGGGGGGGGGGGGGGGGGGGGCTGCCC